AGATTTGGTTTGAATAACCCAAAGCGTGGGTTGCGCCGATAACCAAAAAGGGGTGGGATTTCGAAGTTTCGAACCTAGATCTACTCCCGAGACATGTTCATTTTTTTGAAAAAATTTAATATTCCCCCTAAGTCAATCTTAATCTTTAATTTACCTTGAAATTTACCCTTTAATTTTACTTTTATATTAATTTCGTCCCCTATATATATATTTTTAATTATATTTTATTTATTTATTTACTATATTCCTCTTTTTTTATATTATATTATTTTTATTATATATATCTTATATCATTATATATATATATATGTATAAGATGTATTAATTTTTCTCCATTTACTAGGTATATATTTTTTTCTTAATATTATATGTTATACGTTTTTATATATATTTTCTTAATATTATATTTTCGTTTTTATTTATTTATATATTATATTTTTACTTTATTTTATTTTTTCTATTATTTTTTTCCTTAATATCATGTATATCTTCATTTTTTTATTTGTTTTACTTAGTATTATATATTTATTATTTTTATTTATTTTAATAAATGCTACTTTATATGTACATATTTTTTATTTCTTTTTTATTTCTTTTACCTTTTTTTATTTTTTTACTCTATTAATTTTTCCCTTTATCTGTGTCTTTGTTTTTTTAACATTTTATTAATTTTGTTTATTTTTATTATTTTTTATTATTTTTTTTACGTGTTTTGTTATTTTTTATTTTTACGCGTTTTATTTATTATTCTCACGTTTGCACACTTGCTATCCTAATTCGATTTTATACTACACTACGAATCTAACGTTTGTATCTTTTAAGGGTATTCAAATCAATTAATTGTAAGTAATTTGAATCGGGTTTGTTAAATTTTAATTTAAATTTCGAATTTTCGCAACTAATACAACCAGCAAATTAATTGGTATCGAAAGGGCGGTTTAAGGTTGCTAATCATTCCTTGACCGTAACCGACTCCCGAACCCGACACATTTCTGGTAAAAACACAGATTAGATAAGATGGTGTTCGACCCACCTAAATTCATTTTAAAATGGTCGGTGACGACTCCAATCCACATTTTTCAAGTCGAAGCCCAATTCCGAGACTCAAACCGAAAAACGGTTACGACACGTCTTCGTAAAAAGCTAACTACCCGATGTATCTTCCATTGTGTACCATAAAAATCATTTTATTTGAAAAAATAGATTAGAATGATTTTATCATGTCAATATTGAAGTCGTGAATTATTTATTATAGAAAGATTGTTTTGTTACTGAGATTTTAAGAAAATTAGAAAGTCGAGTCGAGGCTTTGAAGTTTGGATCCAATCCAACTCTGTAAGCATACTATATTTTGTCGTTGATATATTTATTGAAAAGATTTAAATTCAAGCTGCTATATACATATTAATGACGTGATTTATTGAAAATGTTGGCCCAATTCCTTCTGGTACCTAAGCTTCAATATAATCTCGCGGCTTCTGATACCTGAAGTGTTCCTTCTGGTAGTACTCCAGGAATTCCAGAAAATTCTTCTGGCGACATATATGTTAAGTGCGGGCCTCGGGGAATATTGGTTTCGGCTCGGTCCTGGCAAGAGACTGCTAATCGGTTATGCCGGTCTGATCCTGGTTATCCGGTTCCTAAGAAAAATACCGCGCACTCTAAGCAAATTGTACGAGACAAGTACGGAACTGACAGTCCTTTGTCGTCTCCAAAAGGTGCATTGAACAGCAGAGGCCAGTTATGGGAAATTCAGGGGCCAGTTCGGCCTGCATCACCAAGAAAGCTTGGGTTGAGTGGTAATTTCGTAAATAGGCCATCGAATTTGAGCTTAGTTGGTGATGCTATTAAGATTGGGGAGAACAAAGTTTCAGATGCTCATTTGTTGAGGCTACTCCATAACCATTTGTTGCAGTGGCGTTTTGTTAATGCTAGAGCAGATGCGACTCTGTCTTCCAAAAGGTCTAATACAGAGGTATTGACTTCGAATTTCTCTCTTGTTGTATTCAACTAAGTAGCGCAAAACTAAGTTGCGCACTTTGCGCTACTGCTACCTTGTTGTTTGTATGCTTCAAGTTTGCATGCTTCACTGTAACTCAACATTCATAGAATTCACTCGTAGTGTAATTTGGCTGCACAACTCGCAGCTGTAAATGTTGCACGCCATTACCTTTTCAGGGTTATGGCTAAGATTTACTTTTGTTATTATATATCATGCTTTCTTGTTATGTTAAATTGTGAGAAAGTTGCCTGGCTTCTCGCAATTTATCTTGCTCTTACTGCCTGGAATTTCTAATTTTTCATTCAAAAACTCTAGAACCTGGCCAACAAAATTGACTTGAATTATGTGCTATGGGGAAAAAATGTTCGTGGTAGAACTGAAATTATTCAGGCCACTTCTGTTATAGTGCTTGGCATTCTGTCTTTTTGGTTCTAACCACTTTTGCGGTGTAGAAATTCTGTAGCGTGCAAGCAGCAGAGTTGTTTTGTGGCTTAAAATGAGTTTGATCATGTTAAAATATGATGAAGAATCCTTTGTCATCATATTTTTCAGTTTACTTACTTACAGTTCATTTTTTCGATTATCTTCATTGAAGTTAGTAAAAATGAGGATGAATTCTTTTATCAACATGTTCCTATTACAGAAAAGACTCTATAATGCTTGGACTACCACCTCAAAACTGCGAGAATCTGTTAGAGCCAAAAGAAATGAGTTACAATTGCTGAGACAAAATTTGAAGCTGAATTCCATCCTCGAGGGCAGGTAAGAACAATAGCTCCCTACTAGTTGTGTTTATTGTTGGCTTCGTTTCTTTCTTTGTTTTAAGACTTCTAACCATTTGTTTTTATCTTAACTCGATTGTTACTAGTTTTTCACTGTCTGCCGTATCTTATTTGAATTGCATATTGCAAATTGAATGCTTTTTTTTTTTTATCTATCGACTACTACATATTATTTTCATTGATAAGTGCAGATGATATTGTTGGATGAATGGGCTGTCCTGGACCATGAATATTGCAGTTATTTGTCTGGGGCTATCGAAGCTCTGACGGCTAGCATACTCCGCCTTCCACTGGTTTGTGGGGCAAGGGTAAGTTTCTTATTCTGAAATTTGATAATTTCCTTCAAGCTTTAGCATCTCCGCTGTCAATGCTCTACTTTATTTGGGTCTTAAAAAGAAAGGGGAGAAAAATTTGCTTTGTCGCTTTATTTGTACAGGCTGATATCCCAAAACTGAAGGAAGCAATTTTTTCAGCAGTATGTAATGCAGGCAATAACATCCTCCATATGCTCATTATTATCGAAGGTAATTCTTGCTTTTTTACCTCATCCCTTTTTCTCCCCTCACCCTTCATTCTTTAATGCCCAAAGATCGAAGTTTCCTTCGTTCCCCTTTTATGTTCAAACTCCCTTTTTCTTAAGCAGTAGTTCAGACAAAAGTTAATTTAATAGTAATATATTGCTATCTATTGGAAGTTTTTTTTTTTTTGACAAATATCTAAAGGTAGATTAATCCTTTTTATTCTGTGGGTATCATGCTCTATGATTAAAACGGTTTTTGGAATTTTAGTCGATGATGTTTAGTATATAAGCTTTGTTTTTTGTTTCTTTCATTTTCATATAATGAATGATGATGGGCTTAGCTTTTGATGCACATCTTCTCTCATAATAAAACCTATGATAAATACGATAGGTTTGTTATGTGTTGAACCATGTTTACGATTTCGCGTTTACTTCTGTATAATGGGATTGGGTAGGTGGCTTCTTTTCTGGTGCCACGGATTAAATCAATAAATTATCAACATAGATATGCATAGATCAGTACCAACCAAGCCCGTCTAGCTCAGTCGGTAGAGCGCAAGGCTCTTAACCTTGTGGTCGTGGGTTCGAGCCCCACGGTGGGCGTTATCTTTTTTCAAGTGCTTTTATCTTTTAGCTAGTTAGAAAAAGACTTTGTCTAAAAGGCTTGCTAGGTTTACTCGTGTGTTCTTAGTTTGATACCTGATCTTTCTGAATGATTAGCTGCCATTTGGTTTACTTTGTTAACCAGGCGAAATGAAAATAATCATCCATAGTACAGGAACCAGATTATTTTTTAGCTAGTTGTTTCCATGTTTACGTAATTTTGTAGCCTTTATCAAACAGATAGGTATGACCGCAATAGAACCATTCAAGTACAGCAGCAAATCAAATTGATATGATGTTAGCTTTAACGGCTTGTTTGCTCAAACGAGTGTACCAGTAGTAAAAGTGTTACAAGTCGATCCAATTGCACATCTTGGTTTCGCTCATCTGAATTGTGGATGACCTAATTACAATACATCTTCCCTTTAAAGCCAGATTTTATCAATTTCATCTGTTCCTATAAGCTTGCATGTAATTTTTGTATCTTCTTTTGTGGATAGGCTGCAAAAGTTAACACAATGGTGGCAGAACTTAGAAATTTAAGCACAAACGAGATTCCTTCACTCTATCGATGCAAACAAGTATTACCAGCAATTGCAGCCATGCGGGTAAATTTCTCTTCTGTTGTGTTTTATTCGGGCTCGTTTCAAAACTTACGGGTTGGGTAATTAGCAGGTGAAGACATGTAGCCTTAGAACGCTCATTTACAACTAAACCAGGTTTCTCCCACCTTTGACAACAAAATCGTCTGATTTTAAATTCAATACCAACTGAAATTATGATTCGAAGAAAGGTTTCGATAATTGATTGAATGTCATAAGCATGGAGAGATGATACTTTGGACTTTTTATCGATACATTAAAATGTAGTTTGAAAGGAACTATCCTTAGGTTAGGTAATAGGTTGCCTTTGGTTTTCATTTTGCATGGGCCTGCCAATGAAAGTGTGTAAATATATACGTGTAAATGATGTTGGACAATGATTCTTCGTATATAAGCTCTGTATTGGGTTGCTTTCATTTTTCACGTAATGAATGATGCACATCTTATCTTATTTATAAGTAACCCTTGGATATAATATGATAAAACGAATGTAACAAACTTGATTATATGAAGATTCCCAATTAGCTGGAAACTATGAATGAATATCTGAATTAAAACAAAACTAATTGAACAATAGCTGTTGAGAGAGTGGGGAATTCTTCAAATGCTATATACAGGGGAAAGAATATTGTTCCAACAAATCAAGAAGACTCTAGATTCCTAAAAGGACCACGGTATTTGTTTAGTTGACTTTAATTTTGAGTGGAATCCGTATCACGAGGCGTGGCTTCTTCAAAGGGTGTGGGCTTTCCACTTCATCATCTCCGCCGGAAACAAAGAAGTTGGGCCTCGAGAATTCCGGCAGAGGCGGCAGGTTCAGGTCGAAGCCCCTCTGGCTGGTGGTACTAGTGCTGGAGCCTTGTTTCTCAGATGTTGTCCCGCTGTTAGCTTTGCCGCCTTCATAGTGAAGTCGCTTATGCCCACCCAAGGCCTGTCCGCTAGGGAAGCTTCTGTGGCAGATGGAACACTCGTGGGATCTACCGCTGGGGTTCGACGATGTGGAAGAGGTTGAACAGTCCTCGCTGGCGGCCATCAGTTTACGGTGGCTGGCTTTGTGGCCACCCAAAGCCTGATAGGAGGGAAAGGATTTGTTGCAAACCCTGCAGTTGAAACCAACTTTTTCCTCCGGCGGTGGGTGTAGGGTGGAGGAGTTGTCGGTAGCGCCGCGTGCGAGCATGAGGAGGCAGAGAGCGAGGTATTCGTCGTCCTGGTCGAGACGTGGTCGTTTGGAACGCTTGCCCTTGGTGAAAGAGTGGAGGCAATGAACATGGGAGTCAAAGGGAGAGGATGTTGGAGAGTTGAGAGCTTGTAGAGCCATGGAAATCGGAAGAAGATGGGTTCGTTGTAAAATGAGTTGGAATTGAAGAACTGTGAGTTGAAGAGCAGCGAGTGAGAGTTTTTAAAGGGGGAGTAGAAGGAAAGTGGTGAGAAAGTGATGGTTTTATTATAATAACGAGTGAGCGAGTGAGAGATCGATCTTCTCTTTTCTCAAATGCGGCGGCTTCCAAGTCAACAAAAGCCGTCAAAATCAAACGCGGTGAGAAATTGAATTTGACAACTCTCCGCGAACATAAATTGTATAGAAACTGAAATAATTTTTAATTTTAACTCGATTAAAAAAATTTAAATTAAATTTAAATTATAAAATATAATTCGTCAATTTAAATAATTTAAATTATTTTAATTCGATTCGATCGAATGCATATCTCTACTCACTTTAACTTATCAAAATGGGTCCACAAATTTCATCCCACTTCCTGTAATACCATCAATTTTAATTAACATAATCAATCTCTCCTTTTACATTTTATAACAAATTTGGGTTACCTCACTCTCACTTTCACCTTCACCTTCACCTTCACTCAAATTATAATATTACAATCCGTCATCTATATTATTATTTTATAAATCATGGCACGAGTACATTCGTGATTCTTATCTATTTAATAAATTATAATTTTTATTATTATAAAATCCATAAAAAATAGTAATAATATAAAAACATGTGTACTGTTAGACTTTTTAATTATAGCTTATCGGTTAAATTTATTTTCTTTTCATAAAACTATTACTCATTTATTAATTTAGTTATACATGATTATTTTAATTACTTATTAAAATATTATTATAAATATATAATTTTATCATTGAAATTAAAACAAATATCCATATGACCGATATGATAATATTTTTAGTCCTAAAATTTATATATTTTATAAATTCAAAAAATTCAATAAAATTTATCTCACATATTTAAAATTCCATCAATTTAAACATTTTTACAATATTATCAAATAAAATAAATCTAAGGGATACAAAATAATTAAATAGTTACATTCTACTGTAAAGCAACAAGAAGATATTGTTAAACTGTTATTATACTAAGAAATGAACAAAAAATTAATATAAAATATTTAGGATAAGAACAAAGAATGAATTGATGAAATTTTAAAATATGAAAGGTTAAATTTATTGATTTATTTTGATTTAAGAATAAATTAACTACTTTTATAAGATTTAAAGATTAAAATTATTATTATACAAGATCAGATCACTATCCTATCTAAATTTTATTGATCATTAATTATTTTTAGCAATAATTTAATTGAACTAAACTATGAGTTTTAGATAGAAAGAAAGAAATGATCTATTTGTAACCAAACCAAGATTAGAGGCTTGCTTATTAATTATATTTTTTGTTCGTTGTAGAATCTTGCTGGCAATTTCTTTACTTGATACATAGTGTCAATACGGTATGAACTCAAATTTGCATTCTCCCTACTGAAAATTTGAACTGATCCAATTCGATCAACTCAAATAACTGCTGGCTCAATCACTGACTAAAGCGGAACTGCTGGTTCAATGAAAGGGACATTCAGTGATCTGAGGGCTGAGGCCTAGGCTATTACTGAAGCTGATATTCATTACAGGCCATGAATGAATTCATTTCAACTCAAATAACTTGTGTAGAAAGCACAAAATGAGTACAATGAACGTTACACAATTGTATATTTATGAGCCATCGAAAATTTAAACCAAAATGATATCCAAGTTCTCAAGTCGGTTTCTGCCTGCAGAAGTCTATGAATCTTCATCACCAGCGCAGATAGCAAAGTGCCCAGAGTTTCTATCCTGAATAGAAACAAAAAAGAGAGAACAAACATTAACCAGGAGGCCAATTTTACTAGTGATTAGAAATGCTTACCTTGGATTGCATCCGCCGCTTGTTCAATATCTGGGTTCTTGCTTTGCTGATCGCTGAATTTGGTGATTTGTACATTCTCTGTACCACAGAATCCGAATAAATCAATATCAATTTCATATCTTTGGGTAATTCAAGACACGCATATATCAACCAATAACATAATAATTATAACCAGCCATCTAACACACCATTGTCTATAAAAAAAAATTACCATAGCAGTTCATGGCACAGACCGGATAACGAGCTTTAAGAGGTATGATGACCTAATGAATTATAGACCTGAATCTTAAAGGAGGCGTAATTGAAAGACGAAACACTCAACATGGTTAAAACCAACCTTTTGACTGTTGGACATATCCTCACTACCCAGAAGATTCCTCCTTTTTGGCGTAAAACCAAAAACCTCTTGAAGAAATCCGTATTCCTGCACAAGTCATGTCAATCTTAATCAACCAGAAAACAAAATACGAGCAAACCGAATCAACAAGTGTAAACTTCACAGAAAAAGAAGACTGACCTGCATGTGTTTGGTCAAACCTCCACCTAGAAAGTGCTTCAAAAAGTTCAACTGTCGCATTGAACTTTTATAAATTACTTTGAAAATTCATGGCACGTAACTCCTATAGGAAACTAAAGAATTAGAGGAAGAAAGGAAACCTGAATTAACTGAGAACATGTTGATGTCTGCAGTGAATCCCCGCCAATTTTCATTGATGTCTCGGGACAATAACCATCCTAACATTACCAAGATAATAAACATTAACATGAGATGTCCTAGAATTGTAAGTCATGAAAATGAAAGACAATATTAATACCTCAAGGAACTCCAAGACATCCTTAAACAAATTTCTCTGGTTGTTCAGATCTTTCTAGGCAGAACCTTTACCACCAGCTTCCATAGAGAGGTCTCTGACTTGATTCAGAATTACCCCCCTCAGTCCTAGTATATCTGAGAATGCTTCTTCAGTTTTATTTCCTTCGGATATTGAGCCATCATTTGAGCCTTTAGCTTCAGCAGCAAACATCTCTAAGCTTCCCATCTCAAAAATTACTACCAATGCTTCCCCTGCAGCAATGCGAACAGATCGGTCATCCTTGTCTAGCAAAGTGGACAAATATGCTATGGATCTGCATAATTTTCCATGATCGATCAGTCTCAGCCTTATATATTGTGGAAGCATCAAAGTATCACAAGGTTGTTTAACCTACTTTTCTGAGATTTAAACCCAACAGTAAGTTGGTTCATAACCAAAGTATATATGAAGAGGATTTAAGAGTACCCCCAAAAAAAATGATCCATAGAGCTGACTCACTCTTGCCAGAGATTGGGACCGAGTCTCTATCAATCCATGGTTGTCAAAAGGAACGACCAGGCAGATGCAGATACAACTGCTGTTATTACAACAGCAGAAGGTTTGACAGTAACAACCTACGAGTCAAGCAGAAACAATTAATTCTCAAATAAAGAAAATTATGAAGCATAAACAAATAATCATGCTTTCACATTGACAAAATAGAAGCAATAACCGATTCAGTGAACCTCAATACGCTATCAGAATTTGGATGTTTCACCAATTAACGAAAATCAGGATACTTATATTAGAGCCTAGTTTAGGAATGAACTGTTTGCCACATGATTTGCATTGATTTTTCTGTTTCCTCGGGATCAATCCCCCCAACAAAAGTGATGATAGCCAAGCAATTCAGTAACTATAACAAGTAACCAGGTAAATGCGAAAGAACTGATTGAGCGTCATAATACAAACAAAATATTAGAGGTAGAACAAATTCCAATTAAACTTCTTGCATACCGAAGCTATCTTAGAAGATTCAGAACCAGATTTAGAAGCCAGTGAAATAGGAGTGATTGACTCCACCATTATTTCCTGTGCATTATCTCCAGGGCCAACAGTCAATGCCAGCAAACCTACAAAAAGAAATTTATCAGCTTGAATACTGAAGCCTTGTGGTCTCTTCCATGCATGTGTGCACTCAAATTTGCAAAAGCTTTCAAAACTAACCAATGACATGGGAAGCTAAAGATATCTCTTTGCTGGACCCCTTTTTGATAGAATTCACACACTGGTGCAGTAATGTAGCAAACCTGAACAGCAAAAGATAATTCGAGCATCAGAAGCACGTAGATTCATGTACTCAAACCATATTTTTAAATCATAAGAATCATTTTCACCACCAACTGCAAATGTCCTTGGCAATAGAAAATAACAATCTAATGCCATGTATGTGATCTGAAGTCTGATTAACAAATCAATCCTACTAAATGAGTGCTATTCCCAATTTTTGGTGCCCCAATGATTTAACCAATTAATGAATTTTAGCCACCCAATCACAACTCCATAAAATCTTATAGAACCATGATCCTAATACATTGGGCAATTCTTGCAATAACATAAATCAAAACCATGATTAAAAAACACTTAGAAAAGTGCAACTTACTTCTTCTCCACGAACTGATGCTGCAAGTCACAGTTGAAAGCCTCAATAATCAAGGCCAAGGCCTTCTCTCGGGTAGAACCCCTTCAAAAAAGGTGAAAAACACCAATGGAGTCTTATCCAACTCAAAAGCATAATAATTCTCAAAAAAAATTGAGAAATCTACAAAACTTGTCTAACCAATTTCACCTAACCAAACATTTCTTCCCTAATCACATTCACAATGATATTTTAGGAATGCATCAAAATTTCACCCAAAACATAAATAAACAAATATATTAAATAACAGTATCTGACTTCTTTTCGTATAAAGCATCCACAGCTTCATCAAGTAAACTATCCTTATTAACTTCTACTTCTTCAATACCAGAAACCGCATTCGATCGGATCGCATGGTTGACGATGAACTTATACTACTATTACTATCATCAGCACCATCTAACATGGTCATATTCTTACGCTGAGTTTTACCTGTCAAATTCATATAATTCTTTTTATTCAGCTAAAAACCCGTAAATAAAATATAAATAAAAAGCAACGCCAAACACACCCAAAACAAACGATAGAAGAGTGCTCAAACGCAACTCGGCCAATCAATCAATAATATAATATTCATAACAATTTAGAAAGACAATACCCTGTTGAAATAACTAAAATAAAAAGTTTTATCAAATTCATTGGCAGAAATTATCGAAACA